AGGCAGCCTCACAAGACAGACCCTCCTTAGACATCATCATTCTAGGAGAAATCTCCGTTCCCTCCGCATCGACATGAAGGTTTAATGTAATCTCTGTCAGAACCTCAGCGTGATTCTTTAAATAGATATAGACTAGATTTTTTCTGAAACGTATGTGGAAAGGCAGAGGAGCTACCATGGGCGAGACTTATTTTGAAAAGGAATAAAATGGAAGGACTCAGTCGACTCTGTTTCTAGACTGAAATAGCTACAGTAACCCAGACTTGTGGGGTTGGTGGGAGAACAGAGACAGATCCGTGGAAGAGCACACAGAACCCAGAAATGAGCCAGGAAGGTGAGCTCAGTGTGTTTCTTTTACAGAGGTGCGAAAGCAGCTTAACAGAGGGGGGAGGGGGGCGCGCTTTTTCAGAAAAGGGTGCTGGCAGGTACACTATCTTTTTTTAAAAAAACTCCTCACCGCCCTGACCGCTTTGGCTCAGTGAATAGAGCGTCGGCCTGCAGACTGAAGGGTCCCAGGTTCGATTCCGGTCAAGGGCATGTACCTTGGTTGCGGGCACATCCCCAGTGGGGTGCGTGCAGGAGGCAGCTGATCGATGTTTCTCTCTCATCGATGTTTCTGACTCTCTATCCTTCTCCCTTCCTCTCTGTAAAAAATAAATAAAATATATTTAAAAAATAAAATAAAATAAAAAAATCCTCACCCAAGGATATATTTTCCATTGATTTTCAGACAGAGTGGAAGGGAGAGAGGGGTGGGGGGAGAATGAGTCCACGTGAGAGGGACACATTGGTTGGTTGCCTCCCGCAGATGCCCCGACTGGGGCCAGGGATGGAACCCATGGCTGAGGAATGTGCCCTTGACCGGGAATCAAACCCACGACCCTTCAGTCCGAGGGGGATGCTCTAACCTAGGGGTGGGCAAACTTTTTGACTCGAGGGCCACAATGGGTTCTTAAACTGGACCGGAGGGCCGGAACAAAAGCATGGATGGAGTGTTTGTGTGAACTAATATAAATTCAAAGTAAACATCATTACATAAAAGGGTACGGTCTTTTTTTTTTTAGTTTTATTCATTTCAAACTGGCCGGATCCGGCCCACGACCCTTCAGTCCGAGGGGGATGCTCTAACCACTGAGAAACCCAGCCAGGCTCAAGTACACTTTCATAGGCAAAATGTCAAACCTCAGTGTAATCCTCACACCTCATGCAAAAATGAACTCAAAATGCATCACAGAATCAACCATAAAACAAAATGCTATTGATATTTCTAGAATACACATACACATACACACACGCACGCACACGTGTGCACATGAGAAAATCTTCAGGATTGGGGCTTGGCCAAAAGTCCTTAGATTCCAACGTATGATCCATAAAAGAGAAAATGATAACTTGGATTTTATCAAAATTAAAAACATTTGCTCTGCGAGAGTTCATTTGAAGACAAGTTACGGAGTGGGGGAGAGAATATTTGCAAACCACATGTCTAACAAAAGTCTAGTGTCTGGAAAATATAAAGAACTTTCAAAACTTAGCAGTAAAAAACCTCAAGCAATCTAATTAGAAAACGGGCAAGAGACATCGCACCGCAGAGATACAGACTGAAAATAAACACAAAGGATGTTCAGCATCATTAACCATTGGGGAAATGCAAATTAAAACCACAGTGAGATATTGCTATTCACCTGTCGGGGTGGCTAAGATAAAAAATATTGACAGTATCAGATACTGATGAGGATGTGGGGAAACCGGATTGCTTATGCACTGCTGGTGAGGATTTAGCATAGTACAACCATGCCTGGGCAGTGTGGCTCAGTGGTTGGGCATCAACCCATGAACCAGGAGGTCACAGTTTGATTCCCAGTCAGGGCACATGTGGGCTCAATCCCCTCTAGAGGGCAGGCAGGAGGCAGCTGATTAATGATTCTCTCTCGTCATTGATGTTTCTTTCTCTCCCTCTCTCTCCCTCTCTGAAATCAATAAAAATATATTTTAAAAAAATAGTACAGCCACCCCGGAAAAGTTTGGCAGCTTTCTAAGAATTAAACATGCACCTGCCATATTCATTTCTTGAGTGCCTGTCAGGTTGTTTTTTCCTAGTTTCCAGAAATGCCTCCAAGAGAGGCACTGATGTTCCCATGCTGGGGAGCTGAGGCCTGGGTGCTCAGTGTCCTAAAGCCTATATGAAACTTAGACCTGCTTTCAGTCCGCATAGTCTTGTCTGCAAGCTGTCTCCCCCATGTAAAGAGGGAAACTGAGGCTCCAAAGTCACAAGGCAAGTGCATCATGATGGCTGGGCAAGGGTTCTGAGCTTTTTCTTTCTAGCGTCCTAAGGCATCTCCCTTCTGCTCCAGTGGCATCTCTACCCTCCAAGACTTCCCTGGCCAAGGCCTCCCTACCCCAATATTCCCTGGCCATTCATTTCAGCAGAGTTTTCACTTTTTACTCCTTTATGCTTCTTCTATAACTAGTTCTTTGTCTGACAGATATGTGTATTTCTTATCTCTTAAACTAGATTTATAAATTCTTTCAAAACAGCAGCTACCACTTGGCTAAGCAGGTGACACAATCAGCTCACTGTATTAGTTATCTACTGCTGCATAACAAATGACCCCCAAAATCAAGGAGCTTAAAACAAAAAGCATTGCATTTGGCTAGGACTGCTGCACCAAAGTACCATGAACTGGGTGGTGTGAGACAACAGAAATGTGTTTGCTCACAGGTCTGGGGGTCTGAAAGTCTGAGATCAAGCTGTCAGCAGGGTGTCTGCCCTCCAAGTGCTCCAGGAGAGAATACTTCCTTGCTTCTTCTGGCTTCTGGTGGCTGCAGCATTTGCTGGCTTGTGGCCACATCAGTCTGATCCCTGCTCTGCCTCCACGTAGTCTCTCCTCTGTGTGTGTGATCTCTCTGTGCCTCTCTCATAAGGACATTGGTGACGGCCTTCAGACCTACCTGGCTAATCCAGGGTGACCTCCTCATCTCACGGGCCTTAATTATATCACACCTGCAAAAACTGTACCATAGAAGTAACATTCACAGTTCCCAGGGGGTAGGACAGGGACATACCTTTGGGAGCACCACACTACCTCACAGGTTTGCTAGAAAGATTAACTAAGTAAAAATGGGTAACGTGTTTAGAATATACCTGGCTTATAGAACATTCTTTTTGAAAAGACAAAAGTGGTAGGGTGTACGCAGGGAATGAGAACTATAATATCCTGCCCCAGATATCTCTCGTCACCTGGTAAGAAGGTCAGTCATTCCATCCAAATTACATCCGTGAGTGTCTGGACAGACAGACAGACAGACAGACAGACCCAGCCCCATGACCAGCCAGTGGCTCTAAATGACCCCTTGACCAGGTGCCCTCATGTCTACCAGCAAGTGTTCCCAGACAAGCAGAGGCTTCCTCTGAGCTCGTATTAATATGTACAGCACTTTGCTCACATGGAAAATTGATTTTTCTTCTTAAGCACAAAATGTGGCCAGTCTTATAACCTTTCTGCAGTTTGACAAAGGCCATTTATAACCTACTTTCTCCGTCGTCCTTCCTGGCGCCAGTCTCAAATGTCTCGAAGAACTCCGTCCTGCATCTGTAATTATGAATCCTTCTTAAGCAAAATTTAATTTCCAGGAGGGCTGACCTTTTGTTTGCTGCTGTGGTTTTTGTAAATTAATCTTTGTGTGTGTGTGTGTGTGTGTGTGTGTATTGTTATTGATGCTGTTCAGAGTGAAGGCACCGGGGAGCTGGTTGGGAGGGGGGAGTACACCGGGGAGGGGAGGCGTTTTAATCAGCTGTGTTCAGTGATGGATGGGGAGGGCTGGGCCCTGCGGGTTCATCTTTGTGGACAGGAAATGCCAGCAGGATGACTGAAATGAAAACTTAGTGCCTCGCCGTCTCTCCCGCACACAGGAGAGTTGCAACGGCTCCTCCAGCTGCTGGAGTGGAGATGAGCTCAGCCTCCTCAAAGGGCGGAGAACTAAGTGAAATAGCCAGTTGTCCCTTCAGCACAAGATCTTGCGTTCACAGCGCACTTTGCAGGCGCCAGGCCCACCAACAAGAGCATTTGTCTGAGCCACTCAGGGTTGGATCGTTGAGGTTTGTTGGGGTCCAGAGGGCACCCGTTGGGCGATGTGGAGGAACGTGCACGTGGCTGGGTCCAGGACCTGGACTGTCGGCTTAAGGAAGATTCAGGTTATTGTGGTCACTTAAAAATCATTCTTTTATTTAAGCTGGAAAGTGATGCTATTTAGAAATATCACTCCAATGGCCATTCAGAGGGCGGTGTGAGGAGAGCAGGCTGGAGACCAGCAAGTTGGTTAGAAGGCCTCCTGATGGGAGTATGCAGGCATCTCCTTTAGGGCTCCGAGCACAACGGTGGAGAAGTGGCAGATATAAGGCAGGAAGGAAGAGAACTCACATTTGATGAGTACCAAGGTGGTACCAAATTTTGAAGTAAAGTATACATCTTCATGATCCACCTTCAGCCCATTTAACAGATGAGGAAGTTAAGGCTCAGAGAGGGTGAGTATCTTGCCCTGGATCACATGGGGAGACGGGGATGAGCTTGAATAGAAACTCATACTGGGTAGAAGCTCTTTAAATTGCATCCGGCTGCCTCTCTAAATGACCTTTATAGCAGCAGACCTAATTTCACAATTACAATAAGCATGATGGTGATGATGTTCCCAGCAATGTCAATACTAATAGCAGCTAACATTTGTCGTGTGGTTAGCCCATGAGCCACCCCACGCTAGGCACTTCGGGGACATTATCTCTCTTCATTCTCACAATTCTACAAGGCAGATACTGGCAAAAGTCCCATTGTACAGGTGGGCACACCGAGGTTCAGAGAGGTGCAGGGACTTGACCAAGGCCACACAGCTATCGTTGGCCAAAGGGAACTTCATGTACCTTTTCAGAAGGTGGGAGGAAAGGGTGTGATGGGACCTGCCGCCGCCTCGGCCGTAACTCCCTGTCACTCTCTCTCTCTGGGCAGTGTCCCGAGGAGCTACGGCCCATGAAGGACGGCTCCGGCTGCTACGACCACTCCAAAGGCATTGACTGCTCTGACGGCTTCAACGGCGGCTGCGAGCAGCTGTGCCTGCAGCAGGCCCTGCCTCTGCCCTACGATGCCACCTCCAGCACCATCTTCATGTTCTGCGGGTGAGTGTTGCCCAGGCCCAGCCACTCCCTTCCCAGGGGCAGGGGATACGGAGCCAAGGTCTGGAAAGACAGCTTGGCCAGGCCGGGCCCGACCTTCTGCCTCCTGCTCTTGCAGCCCAAGAGGTAGAAGGCAAGAGTGTACATAACCTCTGCACTTCCAAACCGTAATTGTTGAACTAGGAATTCATCTACCTAAGATTTGTTGCACCTACTCTGTGCTCAGTCTTCAATTTATTAGGAGGAAGCATAAATAATCCTATATAATAAAAGGCCAATATGCAAATCGACTGAACAGCAGAACAACTGGTTGCTATGACGCACACTGACCACCATGGGGCAGACGCTCAATACAGGAGCTGCTCCCTGGTGGTCAGTGCACTCCCACAGGGGGAACTCTGCTTAGCCAGAAGCCCTGAGCCGGGCTCACGGCTGGCGAGTGCAGAGGCAGCGGAGGGAGCCTCTCCCGCCTCTGCAGCCCAAGAGGTAGAAGGCAAGAGTGTACATAACCTCTGCACTTCCAAACCGTAATTGTGACACACACACACACACACACACACACACACACACACAGGTTCACGAATTTCGTGCACTGGGCCTCTAGTTACTTAATAATTACAATAAATGTGATCCATGGCCAGCCTGTATCCTAGGGTCAGGATTCGTTGGTGCAGAAGCCTCCTGCCCCTTCTGCATCCCTCTGCAAGCCTGGTAGTGCAGTTAGGAGACAAGTGCAGGCACCATGGGGGTGGCACTAAGAAATCAGCAGGTGTGGTGTTACGAGCATGGGCTTGGCCCAGGTTCCAACGATTGTGTCTGTAGGAAGGTAGCAGTGCCAGGTGCAGGGCTTCGCCTCTCTCTGCCCTAGTGCCCTTGTCTATAGGGATGGTTAACGGGGCGGGGAGACGGAAAGGGAGCCATGCAGACAAAAGCTAAGAACGTGGGGAGTTTTTTATTTAGTCTGAGACGGAAAGAAGGGGCACACGCCTACCGACTTGCTGAGTGGCCTGAGACAAGTCACTTTCCCTCTCTGGGCCACAGTTTGACCACCTGTGAAATGAGACATTTGGACAACGATTCCTACATTGAGGACTCAGTGGTTGTTACCCCGTCATACATAGCATCTAGCATGCTGGTTGGTCCTCAGCAATCACTCAAGAAAGTGGCAGCCTTTTTCCCTCTCGTTGTTCCCTTTCTGATGAGGTCTTCATATTAGAAAACCTCCTCACCTTTTGACATTCTGTGATTCAGAAAAATAATCCCGTGGTCAGTGAGAAGGTTAGTCATTGAGGCACGCTCAGTGCATCACTAGACAGCAACGGAGGATAAAGGCACAGAACGACCTTTTCAGCCTCGCGTGTTATGGAAAAGGGGGTGGAGGAGTGGCTATGCGTTTCATCTCGGTTCAAGAGAAAATTAATTTCCTTGCCTGGTTCTAATCTGTGGGGTCCGGTTTTCATCGTGGGGCTTATTTTCAGGGCCGCCCTCTCGGCCCCCGTGCCACCTGAGCTGCAGGTGCCTTGCAGCAGGGGTTGGGGGAGCTCACCTGAGGCCTGGATATGTGTCAGTAAAATAAATAAGAAATAAATTACTGTATGCAGACCTGAATTTATAGCAGGCTCTCCCGCCCTTAAGTGACTGCAGAGCTAGTGGAGTAAATTATGCATGGGCTCCAATCCGAGGCTGAATACAGAATCAGTCGTGTTCTATCATTGTTATTTTCCCCCTGTGCACTTCGGGGGAGGTGTCCTTCTGTTGCAAATAACAACAGTAACCGCGCAGCGACAGCACCTGTGGATTTTGAGGTCGCAGCTACCCACAGCACAGGGCAGTGGTCAAGGGGGACCGACAGGTTGGGTTCTGGTCCTAGCTCTCCACCTCTGCATCTCTCAGACCCCTTTCCTCAGCTCTAAAGTTTTCATAATATCGACCTCACTATGAGGATGGTTGTGAAGAGTGCAGGTCCTTTACATTTAATGAAACTCAATCAAGGTTAGGGATTGTGCCCAGGGTCATGTGGCTAGTATCGTAGTGCCCACATCTTTGCTGGGTGACCTGACACATAGTAGGTGCTCTCTGATGAAGGCCTGGGGGGGGATGGGGATGGGGTGGAGTGGGGCAAAGGAGGACAGTGATAAGAGGTGGAAATGGAGACATCTGTGATACTGTCAGCATTAAAAAACATATTGCTAAGCGGAGTTCCTTAGCTAACAGGGCTAGGGAGGTTGTTCCCAGTCCGGCCTTCCCAGCAGCATTTCTAGCCATTCCCCCTCCTGAATGAGGTCTCCCGGCCTCAGCTTCTGGTGTTTTGATAACGTTGCTCCCTCGGCCTCTCCCCTCCTCTCTGTGCCCTCACCATTTGTGTGTCTCTTTACCTTGGACAGCTGTGTCACCTTCCCCAGCAAAACTTCTCTGAGCCCCGCAGGGGTGCAGGGCTGAGGGGTGCAGAGGTGGGAGGTGCAGGGGTTGGAGGTGCAATTGTCCTGGGCTGGGTAATATACCTCCTCTTTTCAAGGGGATACTATTTAAATATTGGCTCAGTAATTACTGAGTAGGGTTAGGGTATGCAAAGCAAGACTTTTTATTGTCTTATTTTGCTTTGTATTTTTTATTTCTACCTTCAAGACCCTCTTGCAAAGGAGAGATGCATTTACATTTGGCCTTAAATTCTAAGTCATTCCGTGAAATTTTGACACCTCTTGCAGATGGGACCTCTGGCTAGCTGCCCTGGTTCTGAGCCCCTAGTCAGGCCAAGTTCCTCCAAAGTGAGCCAAGAATCCTTTCTCTGGGGTCACTTAGTGCCCCCCCCCCACCTTGTGCTTCTCCCTGTGGTAGCCCCACTGCTCTGTTTACTTGCCTGCTTTCCTGTCTGGTCCCAGTCACACAGGGAACACCTGGTGAGCAGACTGGGCCTTAGTCACCTGTGCGTCCCCATTGTCATTTCCCATTGCTTGGCCCAAAGACTTCTTCCAAACCGTAATTGTTGAACTAGGAATTCATCTACCTAAGATGTGTTGCACCTACTCTGTGCTCAGTCTTTCCTGGGACGCTGAGAATGCAAAGAAGTATGGAGCACAAGTCTGTGCCTACCAGGGACAAAGGGGACCCTGGGGACAGGTGGCTGAGCCTTGGTCCTGATGGATGTTGATGGAACACAGGTACCTGATGGTAGAGAGCAGCCAGTGATTTTGAGATAGGTGGATAAGGTCATTGGATGCTAAGCGAAGGCATTTACAATGAAATATTATAGGTGAAGGAACGTTACTTTCCTCTAAGACCTTGGCAAGTTACCTAGCAACCATGTTTGCTGTGTGTGTGTATGTACAGTATATACTGTGCATTCTTCCAAGAGGGTTTAATATTATCCACGTAGATCCAACCTATATAATATAAAGATAGGGCCTATCAGAGTGAGGAGAGAAAGGGTGAGGGAGAATAAGATTTCAGGAGCCTGAAATGGGAGCGTGTCTATACATTTAGCTCTGTGCTTCTTGGCAACCCAAGTGAACAGGGGGAAAACAACCCACACCTACCTGATTATGTAGTTGTCCTTGCTTGAGAAAAGAAAGGTTGTGTGTTTTTGCTTTTCCTCCCAGAGGGTACACATCTTTTCCTGACTTAATGCGATAAGAAAGCTGTTTCCTATGTGCCAGTGGTCGGCAAACCATGGCTTGCGAGCCACATGCGGCTCTTTGGCCCCTTGAGTGTGGCTCTTCCACAAAATACCACGTGCGGGCGCGCATGTACAGTGCGTTTGAAACTTCATGGCCCATGCGCAGAAGTTGGTTTTCGGCCTGGGTGAGTCTATTTTGAAGAAGTGGCGTTAGAAGAAGTGGGGGGGGGGTGTCCGTCACTCGGGCAACGGGAGACGCAGCTCGGGGGAGGCAAGCGCGATTCATGCACGAGTTGAGTGAGCCAGTCAGTCAGCAGTCTCAGTGCAGTGGTTAGTACTAGTCGTGTCCACAAATCTCACGCGGGTAACGAAAGTACCTACTCGAAGCATAAAGTTACCTGTATTTTTCCAACCAGCTGCAAATCTTACAGGTATTTTTGTCATCAATTTAAGAATTGTAATTATTTTGTGTTGGTGGCTTTATTATTATAAAATGAAACATTTTTTTAGGTGCCCTGTTTGACATGGCTACAAAGAAGCAAACTACCTGTATAGTTTAAAAAATTTGGCTCTCAAATGAAACTTCAATCGTTGTACTGTTGATATTTGGCTCTGTTGACTAATGAGTTTGCCGACCATTGCTATATGCCTATAGAAGGAACGTCACCAACATTTCTTAAGTGTCAGCGTTACTTCGATCCTTTAGAGGAGGTAACTGGAGGCCTCACAGGCAGTGAAGAGGTGAAGAGAGACAGTATCCCTAGCTTCTGTCTTCTAATTTGAATGTTTAATGTGTTTAACTGTAATTTAATTAAACATGTAATGAAAATGTACTTTAAAAACATGGGTTCCCAGAGCATGTCCATCCTCAAATAGTCCTTACTAGCTTATCTCTGTTTAATGTCATTTTGAAGTGATTTTAGGAGGGAGAGGAGATAAATACATGTGTTTTATACACGTCGTTAACCGGAAGCTGTTTATTTTCATCGTCGAAGCTAAGCCTGCTCTAATAGCAGAAAGCCGAGAATGGAGACAGCGATTTGAACATGACTCTTAGTAACTGGATGCAGGGGTGCGGAGCACTTGCTTTATGGTGGTCTCCAACTTTTGGGTTAGACGTGACTTCTGATTGAAGGATGTGGAATTTAAACCTCTCACAGTTAACATAGGACAGTTAACCTCTCATAGTGAACACAACAGTTAACCTCTCATAGTTAACATAGAACATCCACATGCCATGTTCTCATGAAACTTTACAACCTTGCGTTCTCCGCTGTTTGAAATATTTTGAAAGGCTCAGGTGTAGGACATATTCACAGACACCTGGTAAACGTGTACCAAGTCCATCCATTTGTTGAGATAGGGGTTTTCCAATGTGGGTTTTGTGTGT